GAGCGCGCGCACTTAACTGCTAAGCCATGGGGCAGGCCTGATAGTGTCCTTTAAGATTTTATTTATTTTATTTTTTCCCCCCAAAGCCCCAGTAGGTAGTTGTATGTCACAGCTGCACATCCTTCTAGTTGCTGTATGTGGGACTCGGCCTCAGGATGGACGGAGAAGTGGTGCCTCAATGCGCACCCGGGATCCGAACCCGGGCCACCAGCATTGCAGTGCGCGCACTTAACCACCAAGCCACAGGGCCGGCCTGATAGTGTCCTTTAGATTGTCAGTATTTTTCCTGATTTTTTTTTTTTTTTTTTGGTGTGTGTGTGTCTATTCTGTCAATTTCTGAAAGAGAAGTTTTAAGATTTTTGTAGCTGTGGCGTTGTCTATTTCTCCCTCTAATTCTGTCAGTACTTGCTTCATGTGTTTTAGGGCTCTTAGGTCTTGCCTTTTTATCCATTTTGACAATGTCCTCCTTTAATTGGAGTTTTTAGTCTAAAGAGTTTCCTTTTCCTTTTCCTTTTAACTTTTTAACCATACCTCTTTGCATTTTTTATTTAGAGGTTGCTCTAGGGATTACAATAAACACAATTTTTTGTGTGTGTGAGAGTAAGATCAGCCCTGAGCTAACATCCATGCCAATCCTCTGTTTGCTGAGGAGGACCGGCTCTGAGCTAACATCTATTGCCAATCCTCCTCCTTTTTTTTGTTCCCCACAGCCCCAGTAGATAGTTGTATGTCATAGTTGCACAGCCTTCTAGTTGCTGTACGTGGGACGCGGCCTCAGCATGGCCGGATAAGCGGTGTGTCGGTGCGCACCCGGGATCTGAACCCCGGGCCACCAGTAGCTGAGCGTGTGCACTTAACCGCTAAGCCATGGGGCCAGCCCTAAACACAATTTTTTACATTCTACTTAGAGTAGCAATATTGTAGCACTCCACATGCACAATTAGAAACTTTGCCCTTTGCTCCCACGTGGAACCACTGGGCACTCCTTTATGCTGTAGTTGAGTGTGTTAATCTGTGTGCATTATGATGTCCACGAATAGTTTGTGGGTTTTTTGCTTAAAACAGTCTTATGGAATAAAGTCCCTCAGCTCTGTGCTTGGAATTTTTATCTTTACTTTTTGGTGTTTTCTTGTAGACTAGCCTATCATGGCAGACCAGAGACAGCGCTCACTTTCTACCTCTGGAGAATCACTGTACCATGTTCTCGGGCTGGACAGGAACGCGACCTCGGATGACATTAAGAAGTCCTACCGGTAAGAGGCCACGCCCCCGGGAGGACTCTGGCACCTGGCGCCTGTGAGGTTTGCTCTGCATTTACTAAGAACTACTCCATGTGGTTTGTCCTGGCCGACTCCATATTTAACTGGTAACAGTTCATTGCATCTCTGTATGTGTAGTCTGTTCCCTTATAGCTTAAAATTGTTATATTAATGTTTTCTTGGCAACAAAAGATAGATAATACAAACTGTTTGCCCTGGAGCAGACACTTCCACAGGGAAGCAGGTCTGAACCTGCTGAGCAGAGGCTTTAGAGTATCTCCGCCCTGCTGTAGCCTCTGATGGAACTCCAAGAACTTAGCCCTTATGTACGGTCTCGCTGAGTAAGTGGTAAGAGAGACATCATCATTAACCCAGACACTTCATGTAGTCTCCTTTATGTTCTCAGTGTTGTATAGTTATTAAACACATATTATCAGCACACCCCTCCTTGCCACCACTTTATTTGGCAAATGCACAGTTAGGCCGCTACAGGTCAGCAGTAGGGTTTGCCTTCGTGCTGTGGAGAGTCATCGGGAGTGGTCCATCGCAGGCTGTGTGCAGGCCAGCCGCTCTGCCAGGTTAGTGCTCACCTCGGGACTTACTCCTCTGGATGGATCAGGGCGGAGAGATTTGCCCTGAAATGATTGCCGAGATTTCTTTTGACCCTGACATTCTCGAGTTCTGAGGAAAGTTGGAAAGCAAGTTGGTAAATGGGTCAGCATTTCTTCCACTGGGCCCTCTGTTGATGAATGTGTGACGTGAGACCAGGAAATGGTTTTGGTTTGCAGGAAACTTGCCTTGAAATATCACCCTGATAAGAACCCTGATAACCCGGAGGCCGCAGACAAGTTTAAGGAGATCAACAACGCCCACGCCATCCTGACGGACGCCACAAAAAGAAACATCTACGACAAGTACGGCTCGCTTGGGCTCTACGTGGCCGAGCAGTTTGGGGAGGAGAACGTAAACACCTACTTCGTGCTCTCCAGTTGGTGGGCCAAGGTGAGGGGAATGGACGGCTCGATGCAGCATAAACGTGCTGAGATAATCTCATGCCTGATAGGATTTCAGATCTCATGGAATCACTGCATTTCATCAAATACTCTACACTCTTGAGAAATGGTTTCTTGGCATGTGGCAGTCTCTCTCCTCATGCTGTGTGAATATGGGCAAAGGTTTCAGTCGCCTGCTGTTGGTAGCTGTCTTGTAGCCTGCCTGCAACAAGCCAGAATGCACAGAGCAAGATCAGTGCTGAGCCACTGGTAGCAACATAATTTTCTCTCATGAATCACTGTGCGTTCTTAAAAAGAGAGATAGGAAATACACTTTTTCATCGTATGTGGATAGATCTTTTTTGTTATTAGGGAAGACTTGTTAGAAATCTAACTTGAGAAACTTTGGATGTATCATGCAATTGTTTTATTTTCTAACGTTTCTCCTCATTTCATTCAGAGCATCTGTCACATGTAAGGTCAGAGCACGTGACTGATCCCAGGGCTCTGAGCTGTGGGAAGCCTATCTTTGCTGTTGACTAGTCAGCCCTTATTCCCATCTTCAAAAATTACATTTCTTTAAGCAACTGATCTCTGTCTCTCCTGTCTTCCTGGGTTTTTTTGTTTTTTTTTTTTTAATTTAATTTTTTTTTTTTTTGCCCCCAAAGCCCCAGTAGATAGTTGTGTGTCATAGCTGCACGTCCTTCTAGCTGCTGTATGTGGGACGAGGCCCCAGCATGGCCGGAGAAGCGGTGCGTCGGTGCGCGCCCGGGACCCGAACCTGGGTCGCCAGCAGCGGAGCACGCGCACTTAACCGCTAAGCCACACGGCCGGCCCGTGTCTTCCTGTTTTAAGTCCGTCCTCTATACCTCTTGATCTGGTAAAGAGCACTCTTCGCCTGAGGGCCGGCCCCGTGGCTTAGCGGTTAAGTGCGCGTGCTCCGCTGCTGGCGACCCAGGTTCGGGTCCCGGGCGCGCACCGACGCACCGCTTCTCCGGCCATGCTGAGGCCACGTCCCACATACAGCAACTAGAAGGATGTGCAACTATGACATACAACTATCTACTGGGGCTTTGGGGGAAAAAAATAAATAAATACAAATTAAAAAAAAAAGAACACTCTTCGCCTGAAGCATCCTCTGTAGCTCTTGCAGAGCGAGCTGCAGGCTTGCAGTGGGGTGGGGTGGGGGGTAAGTGCCGCCTGGAAGGGGGTGTCGGGGTCCCGAGTGGCTGCATGGTGTCAGCGCTCCCATTCTGCGCCCCCAGGCCCTGTTTGTCTTCTGTGGGCTCCTCACGTGCTGCTACTGCTGCTGCTGCCTGTGCTGCTGCTTCAACTGCTGCTGTGGGAAGTGCAAGCCCAAGGCACCCGAGGGCGAGGAGACTGAGTTCTACGTGTCCCCCGAGGACCTGGAGGCGCAGCTGCAGTCTGATGAGAGAGGTGAGTGGCAGTCCAAGGACCTGGTGTGCGTGCGTGGGGCGAAGCCAGAACGGGCCCTGAACGGTGTCACCTGTCTTGTCAAACAGGAGGGCACTGACACTGTGCCGGGAGTGTTTGTGGTGGCAGCTGGGACTGTTGAGGTGTGAACATGGATACTTGAGGTAAAAGCAGACGCAGAGGGCTGTCCCCACCCGCGAACTGTGGTAGCCGTAGTGCCGAGGGACCAAGTAGGTGGGGAGGGGCCAAGGGCTGGTGGTGACCTGAGGCGACTGAGGAAGGTCGTGTTGGGCAGAGGTCAGCAAATAGCCTCTCCTCTTTGACTGCTTGTCCTACAACCTCTGACCTCAGTAGAGCAGCAACCAGGCGACCGAGTGTTGTCACACGAGGACGGTGTTGTTGGGGGGCTGCGTGGTGCTTTGTGAGACCTGATGGTGAGGCTGCTGTCCTCATGCAGTGAGCATGCGTGTGCTTGCTTTTCAGAGGCCACAGACACGCCGATCGTCATACAGCCAGCATCTGCCACAGAGACCACCCAGCTCACGGCTGACTCCCACCCCAGCTACCACACTGATGGGTTCAATTAAGTTCAGGAGAAGCTGTGGTGAGAGGATAAATCAGCACCTGGCCACTTCCACCTTAGAATCATGAACTGTAGTCACAGAGATGGGGGGAGCCACTCTGGCCACGGAGGAGGGGCAGCCGCCAACCCGCCACGGCCGCCTTGGGGCCCCTCCCGCCTCTGTGCCCGCCATCCATCGATCCCTGATCCATGAAGTGCGTAGCATGCAGTATTTAAAGCAGTTTAGCTACGGTCTTCTTCTGTTTCTCCTTTTGTAATAGCATGTCTGGGGTTCTGTCCACGTCTGTGTTGTGGATGTGTTGCTGCGTGACCGCGTGAACCGGACGGCGGAGCCGCCTCGGGGCTCTCGGTCAGGTCAGTGCGCTGAACTGACTGCGGCTGCATGGCGCCTCCTGGCCAGGCGGGCTCAGGCCGGAGGAGCCGCTCCGTTCCCCTGTGCTTGTGAGGGACGGAGGCAGGTGTGCCCAGCAGGGGCTGTGGGGTCTGGTCCCCTCAGTGCTCGCCAGCTGTGTGGCCGCAGGCAGGGCCTCTGGACTTACCTGCGGGAGGAGCTGGGCACATCCTCCCAGCGCCCGGTGCCGTTGGCACTTCGTGGTGTTCTTGTTGAGGACAGTTTACAGGATCTGTTCCCCTTGTTTGCTTAGCCTTGTAGCGGGGTTTCTCCCGTGGGTAAGTTTGTTGTGGGAAGTGCGGGAGGCTCTCTTGATCCTGAGACCAAGTTCTCTGTGTCCAGCCTGGGTCTCTGGGTCACGTGGACCTGAGGCTCCTCTCCTGTCAGTGTGTTCCCTCGCCAGGGTGTAGGAGGTGGGTTTTCTACGTTTCTGCACTTCCCCCAGGCCACGAGCTGGGCTGAGGGGCCGCATTCCGGCAGTTTCTCCCTCCTACCCCTGCCTCATCCTCCACATTCCTTGAGGCCCGCGCAGCCTCTTTGTAATCCTTTTTGGACCTCTGAGAACTACACCTGGTAGCAGCGGCCCAATTAGTATAGCCAGAGGGGTAGAGAGTCCAGGTCGCTGGTGGCGTGTGGCTGCACAGCCCTCTGCTTCCTAGCATGCCCACCTACCCCATTTTCCTTCACCTGCTCCCTTTGGCTGTTGTTGATGGTTCAGGCAGAGCTGGAGGCATCAGGTTCCTGGAGGAAGGACCAGCTGGACCGAAGGCACGCTGGGGCCTAGGAGGGTTGGTCCTAGGGAAGCCCTGTGTCCTTTGGCTTGTTAGTCGCTGGCCAGACCACAGAACGTCCTCTCACCACTGTTGCTGGCAGCACCTTTTGTGAACTGTGGGAAGTCAGTCTTTCTTGTTTGTGTCCCAGACCTTGTGGGTGGTGCCCCACTGAGAGGGACCGAGGAAACGGGTCGTGACATGCCTGTGCTCAACCCGCTGGACCTGCCCCCGGCTACGGGAGGCCCGAGAGGCTCCAGTGGGCCTGGTTTCTGCAGAATGACCCCCATGGCTGCTGCTGGGTGTCTCCTAGACTTCCAGTAGAGGTGAGGAACACAGAGTGGAAAGCTGCACGAGTGGCAGTTCTCCGCTCAGACGTACCAGCATGTGTTCCCGAAGCCGACTGTCTCCCCGTCCACCTGCTGACCCACGGCCCCAGCTCCCCGCCCTTGCTTGCCCCCTGGGCCGTGCAGAGAGGAGGCTCATGTTGGCCTGGAAGGTGGTGGAAGGAACAGCAGTGTCAGGCAGAATGTGGGCCTCTGGGAAAGCCATGCTGGTGTGAGGCCGGCTCTGGCAGAGCCACTTCATGCTAGGGCCCCCAGCCGACCTCTCGTGCAGGCCAGTACCAGGTCCTTGGGCAGTTTTTTGGTCCCGTTTTGTTTTGTTTTTCTCTCATTGAGACGATCATGCGGATATTCAGTGAGAGGGGAGGTATGCACTATAATACTAAATCAGAAATAATTTGCTAAAATCAGACCTCTTGTAAAAGGATAAGAAGTTCATTGTTTGACCCACCCTGGAATGAGGGAGGAGGCAAGACAACAGGGCAGTCTTCTGTGCCAATCCCAAAACAGCAACAAGAATTCAGCCTCAGATGCAGGCTGTAGTCAGCCTCAGTGATGTTGCTGGAAATAACTTAGGAGATGAGTTGTTTTTCCCCAGAATGGCAAGAACCAAGTTCAAAGCTTAGATTTAAGGTAGAAGGCCACCCCTTCTGCAGTGGCTGTGCTGTTCCTGGGTGCCTGGCCTCAGCCCAGCCAGGTCCCTCTGTGGGGTCTGCAGGGGACCACTGCAGCTCTGGGCTCGTCACACGTGTCAAAGTGAATCCCTGCCAGGTGTCTCTCAGTTACAGAATCTTATGGATCACTTCCTAGAAGCATGAAGCTCCCCTGGGGGCCACGGCGTGGAAAAGAGGGGCAGGTCTGGAAGTCTGTTGAACCCAGTCTCCTGTAGAATTTGTGAAGACTAAGTCAGTCATGACAGCGATGATAAACCTCAAGGTGATGGTGAAGATTGCACAAGGCTGGGTGCTCCCCCTGCCTGACCCCGAAAGCTTGTACCGTTTGTGAGTCAGAGGTAGAAGCCCTTCCAAGGCTTGACTGGACTCACTGTCAGGCCCCTGCCTTGATTCAGGACAGGGATGCCCTGGACACATTTCCCTTTTTCCTGGTGGTCCGTCTGTTTCCCTGGTGAGGAGAGGTGCTGAGTCTGGAGGGATGTCCCTGTTCGTGTGCTAAGGGAACGACCCTCTGCCTGCTGTGGCAGTCACAGGAGCTCCTTGGCCCTCCCTCTAGGGCTGCCCAGGTCTGGGGCCCGTGTGGCCAGTGGTGCTGTCAGCTAGTGTGAGTGGATGGGGCAGTGTGCCATTGGTGCACGCCAAAGCCTGTCCCGTTTCAGCAAGGGCAGGGCTTGCCCAGCAGGCTCCCCGAGCAGTAGTGCCCCAGGGGGTCTGGCAGCAAGCAGGAAGCACGTGAGAGAGACCTGCCAGGCATCCGACGGGGCTAGCGGTGTGTAGGTTTCTGTTTCTAGTGACGTGGTCTTTTCTGTCTTCCTTTTGGCTTTATTATATTTTCAGACTGCTTTAGATATTACCGCTGCGTGAGCCTTCCCAGCTCTCTGATCAGTCAGTGCAGCCAGTGCCGCTGGAACTCGTTAGAGAAAGAAGCCAGGGCACGCTGTGAGCTGCCGGGCTTGGCAGTGAGGCTCCTGCTCAGGGAAATGCCCTGCCGGGACCGTGCTTGCATGTTCTAACCACGGGTGGTCACTCCAGGTGAGCTCATGCTGGAGGAACGACCCATTGGGGCAGCTGGTGGTCTGGGGAGACAAGAGGCCTCCCTAGCACCTGGCCCCTCGAGTGAGACCAGTGAGCAGGATGGCGACCCCACACAGGCTCTCTCACTGGAGGGGCCAGGTGATGCGTGGGCAGAGCTGGGGGCCCTGTCCGTCCTTCCCTGGCTCTCAGCACATCCTCCCGGGGGACCGGTTGTGAGGGGTATGAAAAAAGTGACTGATCTCATTCCTTTCTCAATATTCTGAGCTGTGAACCCATGTGACACAGGACTGACCTGTTTTTGTTATTTGGTTGTGAATCCTCTTCCTGTGGAATTGGCAAAAGCTACATTTTTCCTGTCCTTACAAGCACGATTGGCATCGTCTGTGCTGTTGGTGTGGGCCGTGGGTGTACTCGGTGTGTACATATGTGTATATGTATATATCACGTGGCGGGCCTTGCTGCTGTGTCCAGTGGCCAAGCAACAAGTACAATAAACGTTGGCTCCAAAATGGCCTCTGGTTTCCTGTGAGTCGGGGCAGGAACGGGTCTCGGTGAACCCCTTTGCTGGGTGCGCAGAGGGGACACCCACCCTGCTGTGTGCCTAGAGTTCGAGTGGGTGCTGGGCGTGGCACCTGAGCGCACTTCAGTGGCCTTGCGCTGCCGGCGTCAGCTTCTCCAGGGCAAGGGTGCCAGGGCTCCTGAGGTCACAGGTGTCATGCTCACCTGACCCACAGGTGAGGGTCCCCATGTGACATCGAAGAGGTGGCTGGAAACCTTTCTCTTCCTTGAAACATTCAAGCCAGTTTTCTAAGCATCAGGTACAATCAGTGACAAAGCTGTGTTCTAAAAGGGTCTGTGTCCTGAGCCCTGGTCTGCCCTGGGAGGGCCCACAGGGAGGAGCCGGGGCCGGCAGCGCCGTCCTCCAGGGTCCTACGGGCAGCACTTTTGGTAGCTTTTGTTTCCCTGGAAAACGGGATAATGTTTCAAGCTAAGTGAGGGGAGGCAGTTTACACTGAAATACATATACACGTTGTTTTTAAAAACTAGATGCAAATGCATGGAAAGCAGTCGTCCATGCACTGGTTCTGTCCTGTACTGGCCCTGACTCCCAGTGCACCTGAGGGCCGGCTGGAAGGTCAGGATGGTTTCCACGGTGATCTCCGTCTCCTGTGCTGCGTGTTGACCTGAAATAAAGATAACTGTTGTACAATAAATGTTTTCACTGCAGATAACTGCAGACGTGCGTCTTCTTTCATGGTCCCTGCAGAATCCTCTTGTTGGGGGGTCTCACTGAGGGGGCAGCTGACCTTGGGCCTCCGGGACCTCGCTCCCACCTGCCTGGTCTGTGTGTGGACAGGTGCCCCCCAGTTTGGTTTGTATCTCCATTATCTAAACACCAAGACGGGAGTCCCTTCCTCCCCACCTGGCTGACCATCACTGACTCCTCCTACCGCCTCAGCCTCTGAGAACCGTCCATGCCGCCCCCAGAGACAGCGGCACCACCTTCCATCCTGTTGCCCGTTAGTGACCGTCCTGCTGGATGAGCAGGGCTGCAGCTGTTGAACAGCACACCTGAACCCTGGGCTGCACGGCAGACCTGTCCTCAGCTGGCAGCACAAAGGGAAGACAGGGGTGACAGCACAGGGCACCTGGTATAGGCCAGCCAGCCCTTTCCGACCCCTGTGGCAGTGACCTCAGTGTGGTCATGGTGGTGGCTGGGCCTGTGCTCTGTGCTGACCCTCGGGCAGCTCCATCCATGTCCACTCTGGTCCTGGTCATTCTGGGCTGGGTTCCCAGGGTTGTCCCCTGCCTGCCCCACCCAGAGCATCAGTGTGGGGCCGCTGAGATCTGCGTGCCTGGACACCACTGCCCCATTTTCCTGGGTAGGCCCATGCTCCCACCTGGCTCTCTAGCAGTCACGGTCCCCAGGAGGTTTTGAGATTCACACCCACCACCCACCTTGATGGCAGGGAGAGGAGCAGGGGCCAGCCTGGGCCCATCCGGGCCCCTCTCCCTGGACATGGTGCAGGCTGTAGCCTGGAGTGTCTGGCCCAGACTCAACCCTCTGTGTCTGCTTCCTCACCCCTCAGATAACTGTGCCAGCTTCGGCTCTGCCTCAGGGCGTGCGTGTCACTGAGAGTTCGTGTGTCCGGCCACGTGTACATTTCTGCACTCGTCGGGCTGGTGGGCCCCTGACAAGGAAGTCCAGCAGGGTGTGGGCAGCGACAGCCTCCAGGGAAACCAGGCCCAGGCCACAGGTGCCACCTGCCACAGCCTTTCAGTTAATGTCCTTCTCACACCTGTGCCCCAGGAGGGGTGCTGGGCCTCTCTTCTGGGCCTCTGGTCTTAGCTCAGGGCGAGGCAGAAATATCGTGAGAAAATTAAAGCAGCATAAAAATACTAAAGTTAATGTAATAAACATCCTGAAACAAACCACTGGGACACGAGAAATAGGAAGCCGCGGGGTCCAGCTTTTCTATGAAAGAGAGGACAGCAAAGACCGGTTTGCTCTCTGCTCCCCAGCGTCCCCTCCCAGCAGTGGCCACCAGCATCTCAGTCCATCTCTGTCCATGGTTTTAAACCCTGCCAACCCCCAGGGCAGCATCCATAATACTGAGCGCTGATTTCTAAAACTTCACGTCGATTGTACTGCACTGTATTAAATCAGGACGAGTTTCAGTGTAGGTCTTTTGTAATCAATCCATGTGGCTACACCTGGGTCTAGTTCCTTTATTTTAACCGCTCTACAAGCACTATTACGTGAATTAACACAAGCGGCTGATGGTCATTTTTTCCTATTGGAGCCCTGCTGCCCTGCCCACCAGGAAGCCCTGCCTCGCCGCGGCCCGCACCGCCCTGTCGCCTCTCCCTTGCAGCCTTCGTGTCCTCAGACGCTTTTCCTTACTGTTCAGTCGTCTGCATTATCTTAATTAGGTAGAATCCACGCTTATTTTCGGTATTTTCTATATGGGATTCGTAGAAATGTGAAGTTAACACCCATCCTTAATGATGGACGTTCAGGGCGGTGGGCAGCGGGACCTCCCACCCCTGGTGTAGGGGGGCCCAACGGCGCTTCGGGAAGATTCCGAAGGCGCGCCCGCGCCCAGGCCCAGTCCCGGCATCCAGGGCTCCTGGCGGGGGTCGTGGTCGCCGTGTGCGGGCAGGGGTCCTCGGTGCATGTCCGCCCTGCCCCATAGGCGGTCTTCCTCGCACCCCTTCCCTCCCACACGCCGCGAGCTGCCCCCGAGGGAACCGCACCTGCCAGAGCCCCGCGGGCAGGTGCGGGGCGGGGGCGTGGTCGTGGTCTGCACGGGGGGTCACCGGGGCGTGGTTTGCGGGAGGCGCGGGGCCACCGGGGCGGGGTCGGTCTCGAGGGGCGGGGCCACCCGGGCGTGGTCTGCGCCAAGAGGCGTGGCCGTCTGGTGGGGTCGTCTGGCTGGGCAGTTTCCGCGAGGGGCGGGGCCTCCCGAAGCCCGGCCCCACCCACCCTGCGGACCTGGCGGAGGTGATCTGCGCCCTGGTGGACTCGCGCGCAGGTGAGCGCGGGGCCTGACCCGGCGACAAGTGGCCCCCGGGGGACCCTGGGCCCGGACCACCGGGAAGGGTCCCTCTGCGCCTCAGGGCCCCGCGTCCGCTGCCCGAAAGCGCCAACCTGCGTCACCGTTGGAAGCAGTTTATTCCAGAAGCTGGAAGGGTGACTGGGTAGTGGTGGCCGCAGGCGCAGGTCCCTGCGGCGGGGGCGGGGGTCTGGGACCCGGACGCCAAGGCCCCGGGAGGACTTCCTCTTGCTCAGTGACCGCGGCAGCGACTCGGGGAGGGCGCCTCGAGCGGGCCGCTTCAGCGCCCTGGGACCCCGGCCCCGGTCCGGCTCCGACACCGAGGGTGGGCGGCACCGGGAACCTCGCCGTCACGCCCGCGTCGCTGTGGGGCCGCCCACCCCTCCAGGCTTCTGCCGCAGAGGGACCCTCTGCTCCTACCCAGAACAAACCCTGCGGGGCGCCCGGTTCAGCGTGGATCCCCAGAACTCCCTGCCCAGCGCCCAGGCCCGCGGCTCCCTCCGAGCTGTCCGCTCGCCCCACCGCGGGCCCTCTCCGTCCAGCTCCCCCGACGGCCGGCTCGGGGACACCCGCTTTGGCTTCGCTCGTGCTGGGACCGGGGCGCGCAGCGCAGAACCCGGCGGAGTGGGAGCCAGCGCCAGCCCCACCCCCAGTCACGTGACGCCGGGGCGGGTCCCGGCCCCCAGCTGGAAGCCGGTTGGTGACCAGATGCAGGAAGGGACCCGCGCTCTCAGCTAGGCCCACCCGCCCCCCGGCCGCCCCAGCGGATACTGAAGTCGCCACTGCGCCAAACCCAGTCCCTCCTCGGGCCCTATTCTGTGGCGGTCACAGACATGGGTGGTTCTCTGCGAACGCCACGTGCGAATTGCCCCATTCTCACCCTTCTAACCGGAGCATAGCCAAAATCCAACTCCTACCCCCTGCCCTGCCCCTTCCCACCTCTGAGTCCGCTCCTCCCTCCCCTTCTGCTCCCTGCAAACCCTCAGCTTGACCGTGGAGGGCCTGCAAGTCCCCCAGCCTAATGCGTTGTCTCTGGATGCCTCCTGCGGTAGGGCCTGGCCAGGAACCTGTGCAGGACACCCATTTCCGAGGACTCACCCTGGAGCACTACAGCTGCATCAGGCCGGGCCACAGGAATCCACATGTCTTCCTGCAGGATGCTTCTTGACTCCAGGTGGCCCAGCGGAGGCACCGTGGTGCGGAGTCCTTCCCCAGGCCCTACTAGCCCTCCAGACACTTCTGCAGGCAGCATGTGCAGTGGGCACATGTGACCCACTCAAGTCAGCGTGGCAACCATATGTGCCTCATGCTAGTTTGAGGCCCCATCCCCTGGCAGGACACCCCAAGCTTCCCTTCCAGCCAGGCAGGGTGTCCCTCATCACCCTGTGGCAGCCACTGCTGGGGAGGGGGCAGCATCTCATGGGCTGACGAACCTGAGATTGACCCTAGAGACTCACCATTCTCAGGCTGGACAGTCCTGGAGGCACTGCCCAAGGGCAGCTGGCAGAGCCCTCAGCAGCTGGCTTCTCCTTGAGGACCCTCACCCCTAAGTGTCACAGGAGCTTCTGAACCAGTGCAGGGAGGGGCTCCAGGTCTGCATCTCGCCCACTTCTCCCCTTACCAAGCTCTGAGGGTATCCGCAGGCTGCTGCCCCATCCTCACAGCTCTCCTTGACTTCTCCTCCAGGTGCCTCCCCGCCAACACGCTTCACCCTCTGCTGAGCCCAGAGAAGCCCAGATGCCCAGAAAGGCAGCACGAAGGCCACCTGGCTCCCAGCCCCCAATCCATCCGTCAGACAGTTTCCTGGGGGTCTTCTCCCCCAACTGGAAGCCCCTGAACCTCCAGCAGCTGTGTTGAGTGCTGTTTTCAGGGAAGAGACTTTGGATCCTGGTCCTTCCTGTATCTGGGACTGGGAGGCTCCTGAGGGCCAGAGGAATTGCCCTCTCCTCCCATTGGCACCTGGAAGACCCTCCCCTAGGGCTGCTTGGAAGGTGGCCCACTTCCACCACCCTGCAGGGCCCTGGCAGGAAATGGGCCCAAGAACTGCCCTAACTTGTGGCCTCCCTGAGCTGCCTCTGATGAGGGGACCCCAGCCTGAGAAGGCAGGGTCTCTGGTTCAGGTCTCCTGCCTCCAGGCTCTGCCCTAGGCCCCCACAGACCCTCAAGAAGAGGAATTTACCCTCCCCCAGGGGCGAGTGGCTGAGTGGGGTGGGGGCAGCTGGGCCCTCTCTTTCCAGCCCTGAGCTGTGTTGTGCACACATGCGTGTGTGTGTCTATGGACATGTTCTGTGTGCTGCTATGCACAAGATATATGTGTGCCTGGTGGTGGTGGCACATGCATGTGTGTGAGCTTGATGTAGTCTCGGTAAGCTGGTTAGCCGCTAGCTGGACTCTGAGGGGCCCTCTCAGGAATGACTTGGCCCCGCCAGGCTCCTCATTAACTGCCCCATTCCTCTCTGGGAAGAAGTGGCTGCACAGAATGGTGTCCTCCCAGCCTCACGTCCCCATCACATCCCCTGAGAGGGCCAGGCCTGCTGCAGTCTCCAGGGTCCCAGCACATAGCACAAGAATGAATGAATGAATGGGGCCTCTGGAGACATGGGAGAAGGGTCCACTCACCAGGTTGGGGAGAAGTCCCTCCTGCTGACCTCTGGGCCCCATCGCTGTCCTCTGTCCCTGTGCGTGGCCACCCCTTGGACAAGCCTCCCACCTTTATCTGCCCGCTTTTGGCCTGGTCCCCACCCAGTGACTTCCTGTCTCCGCCTACTACAAACTTTTCCATGACATGGCCTTCGTGAGCTGGGGGCAACCAAGGAGACTGGGGGGGGGGGGGGGGGAAGGGAGAAGCGGGGGGCGGGGGGGGGGGGGAGGAAAGAGGCAAGAGCCAGGCCTGGAGGGCGGAGGAGCCCACCTGACAGCCCGCCTGCGGCAGCCCAGACAGCTGCACACCGCACACCTCGCCCAGGAAGGAAGGCAGGCACACCTGCAGGAAGGGCTGTCTGGAGGGGCCAGAGAAGCCTTTCCTCACATCCAGCCCAGGAGCAGTGAAGGATGGGCTTGGATGTGGGTTTCTGGACCTGAACAGCATGGCTGGCCCAAGAGGGCCCTGCCATCTCCCTGCAACTGGGGCTCCTGGCAGTGACCAGGACCAGCTCCTCACTCCCTGCTACAGGCGCCCACACACTGATTTCCGCTGGGCCCACAGACCGTACAAACACATGGGGGGCGGGGGAGCTGCGGAGGCTGCTTCTTGAGACCTAGAGTCCCAGGTCCAGGCCAGGTGGTCGCCAAGGAGCCCATCTAGCAGAGCCTGGAGCTGCGGGCCCCAGCTCTGCTCTCTCCTCAATCTGGCACCCATCCTGGACTGCAAGGAAAGCCATGTGCAAGACCAATAAGGCGTCTACTGGGGAGAAGACAGGGGCCCAACCAGAAACCCGGCACAGCCCAGGCTCCTCGACTCCACCCCTCTTGGTGGCAACTTTGCAGCTTGGAGACATAGGGGCCCTGGGGCCACTCCCCAGCCCAGGTCCCAGACAGAACAGTAGTCCCGTGCCCACAGCTCACCAGTCACAGCTTCATCTTTCTAAAGCTTTATTTATTTTACAAAAAGTATAGAATAAGTTATATCGGTAACATCTTTTTTAATTAAAATAAGTTAACGTCTCTGTACTGGAAAGCAAGGACCAAGAGCCTGGGGGTGGGGTGGGGAGGCTGGTGGGGGAAGCTCAGCCTGGGGGCGGCTAACTCGTGGAAGCCACTTCCTCCTCGTCGCTGCCATCGGGGACCGCGTCGGTCCCAAAGTAGCGGTCACCGAAGTTCCCTGGAGAAAGAAGCAGGGCCTCGTGTTGGGGTCTCAGGCTCACCCGGCCCTGAAGCACCGCTCACCCGGCCCAGGCATCCTCACCGATGCCGGGGATGATGCGGAACAGGTCGTTGACGCGCTTGTCCACCGCCGTGGTGATGATTCTCACTCGCGGGAAGGCGTAGGCCACCGAGTGAACGCCCATCTCCGCCATGAGCAGTGACAGCAGGAAGATCTTGTCCTCGGGCACATCGTGGTCCTGCGCCAAAGGGCAGGTGAATCCTGACCCAGCGCCGCCGCCCGCCCGCCCCGCTCCAGCCGCTCACCAGGAGCACCCGCACGGCCATCATGGCCGCAGCGCCCGTGGACACAGTGCAGTCCATCAGGATCACGTGGTCGTCGCTGATGTCCTTGGGTAGACGCAGATAGTGGAGCTGCGGACAACCACACGGTCAGGGCCGGCCCCAACCCAGGGCCGCACATCGGGCTCCCCGTGTCCCCCGCCCGCGTGCACCCCGGGCCCGCAGGCTCCCCCCCGCACTTCGGGCTCCCCGGTGAGCTGGTTGGTCTGGATCAGGATGGTGCCGATGCGCACGTCTTTGCACACGGCCCGCAGCGCTGGCTCCATGGTCTCGCCGGCCCGCAAAATGGACACGCCGGTGATCTGGGGGGAGGGGAGGCTGAGCGGGCTGGACCCCCACCCCACCCCACCCACCCGCGGCCCAGCCGGTACCTGCTTCCCGCCGTAGCACTTGCCCGCGTAGTCCTGCCCCTGCGGGGTCTGCACGACGCAGTCCTGCGCTCAGAGCGGGTGGGAGCCCGTGAGCATGAGGCGCGCCCCCGCCCCTGCCCCCGCCCCCGCCCGCTCCGCACCTGGAAGGGCAGGAAGGAGAGGGCGTGCTCAATGAGCAGCCGCATCAGCCTCTTGGAGTAAAAGATGAATTCATCCCGGCTGGTCTCCTTGTCCCTGCGGACCGGTCACCGGTTGGTTTAGCAAAGGGTGGGCCGCCCCGCCCCCGCCCCCGCCCCCCGAGGGCCCTCACCTGATGATGGTGTGCATGCCCCGCACCTGCGGCGTGCTCTTGAGGACACTCAGCGTCCGGGGCAGCGGGTGGCACTGGTGCGCCGAGGCCAGCGCAGCCCTGGGGACAAGCCGATTGAGGACTCAAGAAGGGGTGTCTTCTCCCGGAGCCCCATCCTCCCACTCCAGACGCCGTGTGTGGGGGCAGCTGTGGTGGGGACAGCGGGGGGGGGGGGCGCCCGCTCCCTGCGGCTGGAGGGAGGGCCCCACCCCCGAGATGCCCCCGCCCCTTTAACGGCCAGGCAAAAGTTAAAGGACACAGCGGAAGGCAGAGCAGCTGACCATTAAGCAGGAGGCGAGGGGCCGCGGTGTGAGCCTCCCTCCCCGTCCAGGTCCCCTCCCTCGGAGGAAGCAGAAGGGACCGGGCAGCGAGAGGGTGCGGCCTCACTCGTGCAGATGTCTTAGCCCCCAACCCCAGGACGCCTCTCCCTGGGGGCACAGCTGCGCTTTGGGGCCAAGCCTCGCCCTGACCCTTTCCCCCAGGTGATGCGCGGCCCCCTCAGGAGAGGGGGGCAAAGCTGGCTCAGTGCGGCCCCTGCTGCCCCATGC